GGTGACTCACGCGTCAGCAGGGGCGCTTACTCATCGGAGGGAGCCCGGACTTAGCATGACTCAGGTATCAGTCATGAGGACATCATGTGACAGGTCAGGAGGCAGGACATGAGTCAGCAGACTCTGACCAAGCAGGGACAAATAGGTACCTGGTCTGTGCACCATTGCATTTGTATAAATAGTAGGGAGTCTGAGGCAGGGAACCTCAGACTTGATCTTCTCGTCGATCCCCCATCTCCTCTGTAGGTAGCTAGCAGCCCTACCTCTCACTGCCCCTTCTAGTCTAGGAAATCTACTTCGTTGCATCATCTCTTGCTGTGTCACTTGGAGTTGCTTCGCCCCTCAGCACCAACCCCATCACCAGTAAGCTTGTCTTTGTTTATCTGGTGGCACAGCTCGTTGGCTGTGACAGTCGCACAGGCCAGAATTGATGCGCTCCTTGAGTCCATGCAGCTTTGGGGATCAAAGGACAAGATGTATGAGTTTGCACAGGTCAGTGTGTTATACCTTGGCGGCAGTTTCCACGTGCGTGTCGTACTTGACAAATTTTCTTGCTAGTTGCCATCCCACGACCGTGAGATGGTGCTGATGCTCCATCTCCTCAAACTTACAGACACGCTCAACACGGAACAGGGTGGCTTTGAAGCCTTACGGGACGAAGTTGTCGCCCTGAAGAAGTATGTGAGTGGCAACTGGGTGTCATCAAAGATTCAAGAGGTATGTGAGTGTTCCGTCCTGATTGCATAAGCACATTCCCATATGACCATGAACTTGCTAGGAGCTTCTCACCAGCCTCCTTGGCCACTGGCTCATCAAGCCATGTGTCTCCTATGACAAGATTCACCTTCGTGTTGCGGTGAGGCATCTATGGGGTGGCCTCTTGAAATTCCCAAGCCCTGATCCTTTGTTAGCGTTATGTGCACCTGCGTGCTGAATGGCTCCATCTTGCCATCTATGTCACTGACCTGGTTGCCAGAGCAGTGGTTGACAGGTTCTTACGGTACAAAATTGGCCAGATGAAAAGCACCTACCGCAAAGAGGTCTGTCCTGTTTACATTCTGATGCAGCATTACAAGTACTGAAACTATTGTAGATATTAGCCTCTGTCAAGGACAAGAAGAAGCTCAATGATTTTGCTCACACTATGCTCGTAAAGTACCACTGCCCCATTGTTCCATTGGACCCACCGCAATACACTTTGGCAGTGCTTGCTTTCTTGGTATGTGCGGTCATTGTTCCCATGTGTAAACATTGCTGACGGTACATATAGCGCAGCGTTGCCACCGAGATGTTGCAAGACGGTGATGAGAAGAGGTACTGGCGCAAGGTCGAGACCAAGCTTGCTGACCTGCATAGCGAGGACCACAATGGTGAAGACTGTAAGGACCCACGTTAGATAGTGTATAGGTTTCTTTACCATGATATTGTCCCAGTAAGCTAATTACTTAGCCTAGGTGGGAGCTTGATATCATTGCGAAGGATAGAGAGACGATCAGCAGCGTGACAAATGTCAACCGTCTGCAGCGGTCGACCTCAAGCGCCGCTCTGGCCCCCGTCGCTGAACCTCCCACCCTCGGTGCCCCCGCAATAGCATTTGCTCAAGATATGGAAGCGAACACTGATGTCCTTGACTCCAGTCATGTGCCCCCTTCATTCAGTCTGTATGGGGCAAGTGCGGTGCCGCACAATTTCCCTGCACATACCTTTGACAGCGATGTTCAGCTTGATTCGCTTGGTGACATAGCTAGTACTATAGAGTCTGCCTTGTAAAGTTGTTTTGCATATTGCATGAGCTCGCGAAGAATAATGATGTCTAGCTTCGCTCTGATATACACATGATTGCGACATTGGGATTCCTATATGCACGATGTTTAAAAGCGGCCGCTGTTAGCGCCCATGTTGGTTGCCTGGAGGGCCCTCGTAATCTATATGACTCGCTCGGACTGTGGAATTCCATCGAATTTGTTGGCCACTGGGATCCACTGGCTTTTCCCTGGATTTCCACCATCATCTGTACCACTGGCTGGCCACTGGCTCCCATCTGGCAGTGTAGCTTGGCTTCTTGTAACAAGCTGGGTGTCTAGTTGGCAAGCTGAGCTAGCTGGATAAGCCGGCCCGGCTTGGCGGCAACACTAAGCAAAAGTGTAAAAATATCCTACAGGATTGCGGACATTGCCTGAAGCGCCAGTTGTGGCATGGTCTTGCAATACCGGAAATGTATTCCGAGAGCGCGTAATACCGGCAATACCTCGCAATACCTGCGATAATGCGAAATATTGCCCGGTATTGCTGATTGATAAACTCGGGGCTGTGAAGACAAGGATTAGATCCGACTAGAGTCGAAGCAAGATCTTCAGTCAGTAAGGAAAGACTATATTGCAGCAACGAACTGTACCTAGAGTCGAAGCAAGACTACAAAGGTTAAGTAAGTAACTACAGGTTAGAGATAGATGTAACGAAGTACTCACTCTTCAGTCAGTAAGGAAAGACTGAAGAGGGAGGACGCAATCTGAAGTCCTTATATACTACAGAGAAGTGTCCATGACTAATCAAAGAGTGGTTAGTCACATGTACCATAGTGCGATGAATAATACGATGGTGAAAGAATTGCGACGTATCGCACCATACGATGAGTAAGAGATGAGTAAGGCATAGACCTGTCTAGACCGTTCTGGAG